TGTATTTATTGACCATTCATAAATTTCTCTGGAGAAATGAGTATTTGAGACTTTTGCCCATTTTTTGAATTGGGTTATTTGTTGTTTTTGTTGTTGTGATGTGGGAGTTCTTTACATATTTTGGATATTAACCCCTTATCAGATATCTGCTTTGCAAATATTTCCTTCTATGCTGTGGATTGCCCTTTCAGCCTCTTGACTGTGTCCTCTGCCATGTAAAAGTTTTAAATTTTGATATAGTCCACTCTATCCTTGTTTTTCTTTGGTTGCTGTGCTTGCAGGGTAATGTCCAATAAATCATTGCCAAATTCAATGTCATGAAGCTTTTCTCTTATATTTTCTTCTAAGAGTTTTAGGTTGCAGCTCTCATTTTTAGGTCTTTGATCCACTTTGCATTAATGTCCAATTTCATTATTTTGTATGTGGGTATCCAGTTTTCCCAGCATCATTTGTTGAAGACTGTCCTTTTCCCATTAATAATCTTGGCACCCTTGTCAAAGTCAATTATATATGTAGGAGTATATTTTTGGTCTCTCTATTCATTCCATTGGTCTTATGTCTGTCCTAATGCCAGTGCCAAACTGTTTTGTAGCAAGTATTGATATCAGGATGTGTCTGGCTATTTGGGGGCCCTTGAGATTCCACATGAATTTTAGAATGTACTTTTATATGTCTTTTAAAAGTGACATTGGAATTTTGATAGGGATTGCATTGAATCTGTAGATTACTTTGGGTAATATTTTCATCTTACCAATATTAAGTCTTCCAACCCATGAACACAGTATGTCTTTCCATTTATTTATGTCTCCTTTAATTTCAGTATTCATTTTTTATTTATTTATTTATTTTTATTGAGGTATAGTTGTTTTACAATGTTGTATTAGTTTCCACCGTACAGTGAAATGAAGTAGAGTTCCCTGTGCTATATAGCAGTTTCTTATTAGTTATCTGTTTTATACATATTAGTGTATATATGTCAGTCCCAATCTCCCAATTCATCCCACCTCACCCCCCTCTTTCCCCCCTCGGTGTCCATACGTTCAGTATTCATTTTTTTTTTTTTTTTCTTGCGTTATGCGGGCCTCTCACTGTCGTGGCCTCTCCCATTTGCGGAGCACAGGCTCCGGACGCGCAGGCTCAGCGGCCATGGCTCACGGGCCCAGCCGCTCCGCGGCACGCGGGATCCTCCCGAAACGGGGCACGAACCCGCGTCTCCTGCATCGGCAGGCGGACTCTCAAGCACTGCGCCACCAGGGAAGCCCTCAGTATTCGTTTTTATTTCTCCAGATATTTACACCTTCCAGGGACCTTCATTCCTCACTACAGTTCTGTGTTTCCCTATGGTATTACTTTCCTGCAACATAAGGAATTCCCTACAGTAGTTGTTGTAGGGCAGATCTCCTGTGAAAAATTCTTTCAGCTTTTGTTTGTCTGAAAACATCTTTATTTCACTTTTGTTTTTGAAGAATATTATCAACATGATAGAAATCTAAGTTGTCACGTTCTGGGTTTTTTTCCCCCCTTAGCACCTTAAATATGACATTCCATTCTATTCTGGATTCCATGGTTTCTGTTAAAAAATAAGTCAAGGACCAATTTTACTCTTTCAACCCTGAAAATAATGTGTCTTTTATTGTCTGGATGCTTTTAAATTGCCTCTATGTTTTGTTTTTAGCAGTTTAAATTCGATGTGCCTATGTGTCATTTTCATTTTTTGTCCTGCTTGAATAAGTTGACAATAGAATAATCCAGCAGAGTCCACGCCTTGTTACCCTAGCATACTTACTTCTTCTAACCATATTTAACTTCCAAATAATGTCAATATTAAAATTATGCTTCCACCTAACATGATACAACTATCCCTCATATAGATTAAAACAAACTAACCCTCTTCCCCAAAGTAATTTTATTTATCTTTCAATCATTTTTATTTCTCTCCCTGCTGAGCCATACTCCACCTATGATATCTTGTCATATAAATACTAGATACAAGGTTAAGCACTTATATTTATTTCCTACTGCTGCTATAACAACTGCCAAAACCTTAGTAGCTTTAAACAACAAAAAATTATTATCATACAATTCTGGAGGCCAAAATCTGAAATGGATCTCACTGGGCTAAAATTAAGATGTCAGCAATGCTGCATTCTTTCTGGAGGCTCTAGGGAAGAATTTGTTTTCATGCTTTTTCCAGCCTTTAGTGGCTGCCCACATTCCTTGGCTCATGGTCTCCTTCCATTTTCAAAGCCAACAATGACCTACCAAGTATGTCTCACATCACATCACTCTGGTGCTGACTCTTCTGTCCCCTCTTTGACTTATATGGACTCTTTTATTTCCAAATTATAAGGTCCTCTCATTTTTTTTGGTGTGGTGGTTCACTGGCATGAGGAACTCAAAATGGCCAGGTGACAGTATCAGCTTCCATTTTAATGGAACTGTTGATGTGTACCTTGGTGGAAGCCTTCCTTCTGTGGGTTCTAAGGCCTTTATATCCACAGAACCCAAAGGTACAAGGAAAGGAAGCAAAATTTTCACTAGTGGATTATTAGAGATAATATTGAGAGGGAGCCACTTTCATTTCCACCCTTTAATTTTCAAACTCATAAATGCTGGCTGGCATAGATTCAGATCATATTCTATAACATGAAGGACATCACTGTAGCCTGAAAAGTGTTGTCAGTGGAACTCTAACTGTAACTGAGTCTCCAAAATGCCATTCCACCAGGCCAAGTGCTTTAGGGTGATGGGGAACAAGGTAATGTCAGTGAATTTCATGAGCATAGGCCCATTGATGTGCTGCATTTGCTCTGAAGCAAGTTCCCTGATCAGAAGCAATGCTATGCAGAATATAATGACAAGTGAATAAAACATTTTGAAGGTACACAGATAGTGGTTTTTGTAGAAGTATTGTGTACCCAGGAATGTAAATTATCAATTCCAATGAGAATCAAGTGTTACCCCTTCCATAATGGAAGTGTTCCAACTAATCAATGTGCCACAAGAAGCTGGCTAATTCCCTCAGGGAATGATGCCATATCAGGGGCTCAGTGTTGGTCTCTGCTTTGGCACAGTGGGCACTCAGCAGTAGTTGTAGCCAGATATAGTGCATAAAAATCCATGTTGCTGAGCCCGAATAACCTCCACTCCTCCATTCCTGTTGCCATGGCCACTTTGTTCATGAGCCCATTGGGCAAGGAGAGCAGTGGCTAAGGAAATAGACTGACTGACTCCAAAGAATGGGTCATCTTGCCTACTTGATTATTAATATTCTTCTCTGCTGAGATTGCTCTTTGATGAGAATTGACATGGGACACAAATGTCTTCACACTTGGTGCCCATTTGGAGGGGTCTGACCTCTTCCGCAACAGCTTTCTAACCATGTTCTTTCCAAATCCCTGACCATCCAGCAAAGCCATCAGTTATTGCCCATCTGTAGATCTGTACCTCTGGCCATCTTTTCTTCCAGGCATAATATACAACAGGTATGCTGCTTGAAGCTCTGTCCCCTGTAAGTATTTCTCTTCAGAGCTACCCCTGAGTGAGGCTGTATATTATATACGGAACTTCCTATGGGTCACACTTTGCACTTGACCTCCTGAGGCCTGCTAGGTCCTGAGTTTGACCAGTAGAATTCAAACTAAGTGATGCTGTGTGACTTCCAAGACAAGGCCTTGAGAAGTCTTGCAATTTCTACTCTGTCTCTCTCTGTCTCATTCTCTCTCCCTCTCTCCATCTCTCTCTCTCTCTCTCTCTCGTACTTTGAAATGTACGTGCTGTGAAGAAACTCTAAACTGAAAGTCTATATGGAGAGAGAAGCCCAGCCATCACAGAGGTTCCAACAATCCAAGCTGAAGACCCAGTATATGTGTGTGAGACCATATTAAATCACCCATCTCCAGCTGATCTGGCAACTGACTACAGCCAAACACATGAGTCCAAGCAAGAATAGAAGTTCCCCGTCAACCCACAGAAAGCAGTTGTTGCTTTAAGTCACTAAATTTGAGGGTGGTTTGATACAATAATCTACAAATTTAGAAGATACTATTCAGATTTTAAACCATCATAAATTTTTCTTGATACTCAATTTGGGGTTTTACTTAAGAAATTACATCTTCCTTTCAGAAAGAATATTATTTGTGTTGAGGTGAGCTGCACCATCTTCCACAGGCAATTGCAATGGGACTTCAAATTGTTATATTAGTATTATGGATTACTTCAACTTGTATTTATTTGATTTGATTTAATAAAAGCAAACTGAGAGGTCAGGGAATGTTTACCAAGAGTTATTAAGGTTTTTGGGAGGGATAAGATAGGAGAGGGTTACCAAAGATAGCTTTCCAAGATAGAAGAATTGCTTGCAGTTGTTTGACTAAATTTGCACTAACAATAAAAGTAGATAGGGTTTGTAAATCAGTGGAATTACCACAGGAATGAGGAGGATTCTGTAATGACAATAATATATAATACTTATTGAGTGCTTTATTATGCCAGAAGTTGTTCTAAGTGCCTTACAAATTTTAGCTCATTTATTCCTAACCGTAGCTGTATGAAATAGTACTGTCATTCCCATATTTTAGATAAGAAACTGATCATAGAGGTTAAGCAACTTGTTCAGGATCACACAGCTAGTAATTACTAACACTTGAGCCCAGACAATATTATGTCATACTCAGTGTTCTTAACCACTAGGCTGTATTTTGTCTTTCTCCTAGATTACACTGGAGTATACGAAAGTGACCCAACCAAAGTTTTGGATATTTTATTTATAGTTGCTAGTGATACCATTACAAATTTAAGGGTAAAACTCTGTGAGAATAATACCAGTATTGCCTGACTTGTCAAAGCAAACCTTGATTGGATAATATTTCTAAAATCTAGTTTACATATGTAAAATCTATTTTATGATTTTTACTCATTTTGCCCTAATTAGGCAAAAAGCTAATTAGAGGTAGAAAACCCAGTTTTGGCCATAAAATCTTATGTGTTTGAACCTTTAGAATGTCGCTGTATTCCAACACTTTAAAAGTCTGATTAATATAAGAAGACAAGGGGAGCCACGTCAGATACTGAAATACATTAATCCTAAAGAGGTAAGGACATTATTTATTGATACAATATATTTCTCCCCTTAAAAATGTGTGGCTACTTTATAAATTCAGTGTGCTTGTATTTCTTTTTTTTAACTTTTTAAATTAAAATATTACACACATATAGAAAGTTCATAAAACATAAATTTATAACAACTGAATCATCACAAGCAAACCCCTGTGTAACATTCACCCAGATCAATGTTTTCATACTTCAAACCACTACCTTTGGGTGCCCTGCAAATCACTGACGGCTGTCTTCTTCCAAAAGGTAAACACTATTTTGAATCCTACCACTATACTTTAGTTTTCTCTGTTTTAAAGCTACATATAAATAGAATCCTATAGTACACTTCTGTATCTAGCTTTGTTCATTCAACATTGTTTGTGAACATTCATTTCATAAAAATGTTGGTAGTATTCCATTTTATGAATATACTGCTATTTATTCATTCTACAATAGATTGACATTTGGACTTTTTCTAGTTTGTGGCTATTATAAAGGCTGCTTTTGGAACTATTCTTACTCATGCCTCCTGGCTAACAGGTCCACAAATTTCTTTTGGTTTCTATTCAACCTAGAAACAGAATTGCTGGATAGAAGGATATGCCAAACTATTTTCCAAAGTTATTGTATTAATTTATGTTCACTGTCAGCAACCTGTGGGAATTCTTCATGCTCTACATCCTCAGCAACACTTAATATTGTCAGTTTTTAATTTGCATTTCTCTGATTACTAATGAAGTTGAGCATCTTTTTGAGGAGTTGTGCTTCTGATTCAAATTCTATATGTGATTTTTTCAGGCCTGACCACAGGCAATTACAAAGCCTTTACCTGACAGGACTCACAAGGGAAAGCTATCCTCACCTCACACTAGACTTGGTGCAGAGTCAGTGCATTACAGTCACTGAAGGGAGTTGCAGACAAGGCCTCAGGACCCTCTCTGTCCACGAATTTAGGCATATTTTCCTAGCCCCAAAAGCCTTCACTCTTAGGTCTCTTTTTATATTTTAAGTATTTTTATTGGAGTATAATTGCTTTACAATGGTGTGTTAGTTTCTGCTGTATAACAGTGAATCAGCTATAGATATAAATATATTCCCATACCTCCTCCCTCTTGCGTCTCCCTCCCACCCTCCCTATGCCACCCCTCTAGGTGGACACAAAGCACCAAACTGATCTCCCTGTGCTATGCGGCTTCTTCCCACTAGCTATCTATTTTACATTAGATAGTGTATATATGACCATGCCGCTCTCTCACTTTGTCCCAACATACACTTACCTCTCCCCATGTCCTCAAGTCTATTCTCTACATCTGCGTCTTTATTCCTGTCCTGCCCCTAGTTCTTCAGAACCTTTTTTTTATATTCCATATATATGTGTTAGCATACGGTATTTGTTTTTCTCTTTCTGACTTACTTCACTCTGTATCACATTCTCTAGGTCCATCCACCTCACAACAAATAACGCAATTTCATTTCTTTTTATAGCTGAGTAATATTCCATTGTATATAAGTGTCACATCCTCTTTAACCATTCATCTGTCAATGGACACTTAGGTTGCTTCCATGTCCTGGCTACTGTAAATAGACCTGCAATGAACATTGTGGTACATGACTCTTTGAATTATGGTTTTCTCAGGGAATATGCCCAGTACTGGGATTGCTGGGCCATATGGTAGTTCTATTTTTAGTTTTATAAGGAACCTCCATACTGTTTTCCATAGTGGCTGTATCAGTTTACATTCCCACAAACAGTGCAAGAGGGTTCCCTTTTCTCCACACACTCTCCAGCATTTATTGTTTGTAGATATTTTGATGATGGCCATTCTGACTGTTGTGAGGTGATACCTCATTGTAGTTTTGATTTGCATTTCTCTAATGATTAGTGATGCTGAGCATCCTTTCATGTGTTTGTTGGCAATCTGTATCTTCTTTGGAGAAATGTCTGTTTACGTCTTCTGCCCATTTTTGGATTCGGTTGATTGTTTTTTTGATATTGAGCTGCATGAGCTGCTTCTAAATTTTGGAGATTAATCTTTTGTCAATTGCTTCATTTGCAGATATTTTCTCCCATTCTGAGGGTTGTCTTTTCATCTTGTTTATGGTTTCCTTTGTTGTGCAAAAGCTTTTAAGTTTCATTAGGTCCCATTTGTTTATTTTTGGTTTTATTTCCATTTCTCTAGGAGGTGGGTCAAAACGATCTTGCAGTGATTTATGTCATAGAGTGTTCTGCCTATGTTTTCCTCTAAGAGTTTTATAGTGTCTGGCCTTACATTTAGGTCTTTAATCCATTTTGAGTTTATTTTTGTGTATGGTGTTAGGGAGTGTTCTAATTTCATTCTTTTACATGTAGCTGTCCAGTTTTCCCAGCACCACTTATTGAAGAGGCTGTCTTTTCTCCATTGTATATTCTTGCCTCCTTTATCAAAAATAAGGTGACCATATGTGTGTGGGTTTACCCTTGGGCTTTCTATCCTGTTCCATTGATTTATATTCCTGTTTTTGTGCCAGTACCATATTTTCTTCATGACTGTAGCTTTGAAGTATAGTCTGAAGTCCAGGAGACTGATTCCTCCAGCTCCATTTTTCTTTCTCAAGAAAGCTTTGGCTGTTCAGGGTCTTTTGTGTTTCCATACAAATTGTGAAATTTTTGTTCTAGTTCTGTAAAATGTGCCATTGGTAGTTTCATAGGGATTGTACTGAATCTGTAGATTGCTTTGGGTCGTAGAGTCATTCTCACAGTGTTGATTCTTCCAATCAAAGAACATGGTATATCTCTCCATCTGTTTGTATCATCTTTAATTTCCTCATCAGTGTCTTATATTTTTCCTCATACAGCTCTTTTGTCTCCTTAGGTAGGTTTACTGCTAGGTATTTTATTCTTTTTGTTGCAATGGTAAATGTGAGTGTTTCCTTAATTTCTCTTTCAGATTTTTCATCATTAGTGTTTAGCAATGCAAGAGATTTCTGAGCATTAATTTTGTATCCTGCTACTTTTCCAAATTCATTGATTAGCTCTAGTAGTTTTCTGGGAGCATTTTTAGGATTCTCTATGTATAGTATCATGTCATATGCAAACAGTGACAGCTTTACTTCTTCTTTTCCGATTTGGTTTCCTTTTATTTCTTTTTCTTCTCTGATTGCTGAGGCTAAAAACTCCAAAACTATGTTGAATAAGAGTGGTGAGAGTGGGCAACCTTGTCTTGTTCCTGATCTTAGTGGGAATGCTTTCAGTTTTTCACCATTGAGGATGATGTTGGCTGTGGGTTTGTCATATACGGCCTTTATTATGTTGAGGTAAGTTCCCTCTATGCCTACTTTCTGGAGGGTTTTTATCATAAATAGGTGTTGAATTTTCTCAAAAGCTTTTTCTGCATCTGCTGAGATGATCATATGGTTTTTATCCTTCAATTTGTTATTATGGTATATCACACTGATTGATTTGCGTATATTGAAGAATCCTTGCACTCCTGGGATAAACCCCACTTGATCATGGTGTATGATCCTTTTAATGTGCTGTTGGATTCTGTTTGCTAGTATTTTGTTGAGGACATTTGCATCTGGTTCACCAGTGATATTGGCCTGTAGTTTTCTTTTTTTTATAACATCTTTGTATGGTTTTGGTATCAGGGTGATGGTGGCCTCATAGAATGAGTTTGGGAGTGTTCCTCTCTTTGGTATATTTTGGAAGAATTTCAGAAGAAAAGGTGTTAGCTGTTCTCTAAATGTTTGATAGAATTCCCCTGTGAAGCCATCTGGTCCTGGGCTTTTGTTTGTTGGAAGATTTTTAATCACAGTCTCAATTTCAGTGCTTGTGATTGGTCTGTTTATATTTTCTATTTCTTCCTGCTTCAGTCTCGGAAGGTTGTGCTTTTCTAAGAATTTGTCCATTTCTTCCAGGTTGTCCAATTTATTGGCATACAGTTGCTTGTAGTAATCTCTCATGACCCTTTGCATTTCTGCAGTGTCAGTTGTTACTTCTCCTTTTTCATTTCTAATTCTATTGATTTGAGTCTTCTTCCTTTTTTTCTTGATAAGTCTGGCTAATTGTTTATCAATTTTGTTGATCTTCTCAAAGAACCAGCTTTTAGTTTTATTGATCTTTGCTATTGTTTCCTTCATTTCTTTTTCATTTATTACTGATCTGACCTTTATGATTTCTTTCCTTCTGCTAACTTTGGGGGTTTTTTGTTCTTCTTTCTCTAACTGCTTTGAGTTAGGTTTTAGTAAGGTTAGGTTGTTTATTTGAGGTGTTTCTTATTTCTTGATGTAGGATTGTATTGCTATAAACTTCCCTCTTAAAACTGCTTTTGCTGCATCCCGTAGGTTTTGGGTCATCGTGTTTTCATTGTCATTTGTTTCTAGGTATTTTTTGATTTCCTCTTTGATTTCTTCAATGATCTTCTGGCTGTTTAGTAGTGTATTGTTTAGCCTCCATGTGTTTGTATTTTTTAACAGATTTTTTCCTGTAATTGATATCCAGTCTTACAGTATTGTGATCCGGAAAGATACGATTTCAATTTTATTAAATTTACCAAGGCTTGATCTGTGACCCAAGATATGATCTATCCTGGAGAATGTTCCATGAGCAATTGAGAAGAAAGTGTATTCTGGTGTTTTTAGATGGAATGTCTTATAAATTTTAATTAAGTCCATTGTTTTTAAAGTATCATTTAAAGCTTGTGTTTCCTATTTATTTTCATTTTAGATGATCTGTCCATTGGTGAAAGTGGAGTGTTAAAGTCCCCTACTATGATTGTATTACTGTCGATTTCCCCTTTTATGGCTGTTAGCATTTGCCTTATGTATTGAAGTGCTCCTATGATGGGTGCATAAATATTTACAATTGTTATATCTTCTTGGATTGATCCCTTAATCATTATGTAGTGTCCTTCTTTGTCTCTTGTAATAGTCTTTATTTTAAAGTCGATTTTGTCTGATATGAAAATTGCTACTCCATCTTTCTTCTGATTTCCATTTGCATGGAAATCTTTTTCCA